ATTTATAGAGTACTTAATGTGTGTTAAGCCCCATGAAGCATTATTTGTGATAGTACTTTGACCATCACAGGGAGAGAATGCAGCAAGCTGCCACTGATTTGAAGCAGGCAGACTGGCTTTGATAATAGGGTTAGAATCATGATGATAAACTGTTCATTAAGAGAAACTGTTGGGCTGGGGATGTGGCAAGGAGATGAAACACATTTGCAAGGTCCTGGGTTAGATTCCCAGGATCGCAAAAAAAAAAAAAAAAAATAATATATATATATATATATATATTATATATACACCAATATACCAATATACCAGAGATTTTCTGGAGCCGTAATAGTCCCATGTAGAACACTTAACACCATCAAGCAAAACTATTCCACTGTTTGACAACCATCACTTCACCTGTTTTTTTCAGTTGTTGTGAGCCCTAGTACTTTGCTCTCTTCATTTTTCTTCCAATCATCTTTCTTTTTGTTCCTATGCAACTTGTATGCCATGAATGTCTGCTGTTACGGAGACTACAGTGTATAAAGAGAGGGAAAACCAGATAGAACTACTGCAGGAGCATATGCAAAGTACCTGTTTTTTCAAGGATAAAAATCAACTTTGAGAAGTGTACCATTAGAAAGAGAGACTATTCTAGGAAAAATACAAATTAATGTAACAGCTTAGTAATGAGAAGAAACATAAATGTCCATCAAGGAATTAAAAGAAATTGATACAAAAAGGAAGAGCTCTGTAAACCTAGATTATTCCAAGCTTTCACATTACTAATAAATAATATTACTAATAACAGCCAGTCTTTGAACTAGGCCTTGACCACAGCCTGTTAGCAGATAATGTCTAAGCCCTTGGCATATTTTACTTTTTGAGTGTGTTTTTTTGCATTACTGAGGCGTTGTCCATGCTGTGTTACCATGTTAAGTTTATCCTAACAATGTGATTTACACTGGTCTGTAGGCACAGGTCTGACTGGCAGAGGTTAGTCACACAGCATTGCTGATTTACAAAAAGTCCCTGGATATGAGGAATATATGGTTGGTAACTCTACAAATGGTTTGTGATATACTATTTACTGTTGGCAGATTTAAGCCACTCCACTAGGAGTGGATATCTAGAAGCATTTACTTGATTCTGCCAAATAAGAAAAAAAAAAAAAGGCACAAAAGTAAAAGTAAATGAAAGAGAGTGACCATACAGGAAGAACAAGGAGACTGAAGGTTTAGAGAACCCAAGAAACATATTAACACTGTCAAATCCTGCAGGTCAGGAAATTTTCAGACTCATCACCAAATTAAGCAAGAAAGTTAGTTACTGACCTCAGAAGAACTGTTCCTGTGGAAAACCAGTGATAGAGCAACAGTGAGCAAGCTAAGAAATAAGGGGCAAGGACATGGAGCTAGATGAATTGCCAAACCCATAGGATGTACAGGTAACCATTTCAAGAAGTTGGATCTGAAGAAAAGGATACAGATATGTTGAAACCTAATTTTTTTCGTAAGGATGGAAATAATTTTTAGCATGTTTGTATACTGACCAATAAAAGCTGGCAGACAGCAGGGCACAGTGGCTCACACCTGCAATCCTTACCTACACAGGAGGTGGAGACTGGAAGGATCACAGATTGAGACCAGACCAGGCAATAGATCCCATCTCAACCAATACCTGGGCGTAGTAGGTACCTGTCATCTCAGCTATGCAGGGAACTATAAGTAGGAGGATTGAGGTCCAGCCTAGCCTGGGCAAAAGGCAAGACCCTGTCAAAAAAATAAGGGTCAGGGGCATGGCTCAAGTGGTAGAGTGCCTGCCCTAGCAGCACAGGTCCTGAGTTCAAACCCCAGTACCTTAAAAGAAAAAAAAAGTGGGCAGGGAAGTTATGATAGAATAAGTAAAATCAAATAATGTCCTTGAAAAGATAAAATATCCAGAACACAGCTGAAAGGTGAGCCTTAGAAGTAATATGTCTTCCATTATAACAGAGGACAAGAAACAAAGAATTACCATGAATGCAAATAAGTTTATACATTTGACTGCAGAACTGTAGAGGTTCATTCTGATTAACTCTATTTTCTTTGTAAAATAAGAACCAAAAGCATTTCTAAGCAGGAAAGAGAAAAAGGAGAGCAGGGACAGCTTAGCTTGGATGAAGCAGACATTTAGATAAATTGCATTTCTGCCAAACCCATTAAATGGAAGGACAGTAAGTCGAGGGAATTAAGGAAAATGATAAGACTAGTGAAGCACAGAACCTAAGCTGGAGGATAAGGGGGTGAAGATAAGGATCTTCACTAGTAGATAAGACTAGTGAAGCATAGAACCTAAGCTGGAGGGTAAGGGGGTGAAGAATTCTCTGTATTTGAGCAATCAGGTGCAGTATAAGTAGCCAAGTGATATAGCTAGTAGAGATTGTGAACAGAAAATAAGGTATGTGAAGTTTTCAAAAACTGAATGGCTATGAAAAGATCCACAGTGGAGCTGCTGGAGTTAGTAGCTAATAAAGAATAAAGAAAATAAAATCACTGGGAATAAGAAGATAAGAAATCAAGAAATCAAGGTGTTGATTATCATGTATATAAAGTAACTCAAAGTAATGATAAAATTTGGGATATAACAGATGAGTTAAGTGCCACAGATTCAGTAATTGATGGACATAGTATGGAATGGCACAGGAACTAGAAAATGACACGATTTGTTCAAAGGAACAGGGGGTTTACACAAGAGTAATGAGGAGTAACGAGCACTTTAAACTCACTAGCCAACCCGACAGAATATAGGGTGATGGGAGATGAAGACATTCCACTTCACAAGACGATAGTGGAAATTATATCTTTAGCAAAGAGCAAGCTTTCAAGAAAAGGAGAAGCATATGACTGTAATGGTTCAAGATGGAGGAAAGCATGTTTATTACTAAAAAAGCATAGTGGGCAAGAAGGCATAGTTCCCAAAGTCTGCAAGGGAGGAAAGTGATGAGAAATTGGAGAACAATGTGGAGACTGAGTATGAAAGAGGGCAGCTCTCTTACGGAGCTTACATACATCTTCAGTAATGACTAAGGTTAACTAGGATGTATGCAGCACAGGCAGGGGAGATGGCAGCATAAACAGATAAATGGTAATACTGACAAGAACTGTAAGGTTAAGATAAGGTATGGAACACACAGGTGAGAACAAGTAATTTTGGGGGAAGGTCAGGAACCTTCATAAAAGTAATCCTTAGCAACTACAGCACAACTCAAATATCAACTATTTATATCACTATTTTAGTAAACAAATCCTGAAAAAAAATTTTTTAGGTATATTTTAAGATTTACTTCTCATGCAATGTGTTTTGAGTAATCAAGGCTTATCCAAACTTCACCTTTTCTATATATATAAAAATAGAAGAAATGAAGTAATCACAAAGATCCAATTATTACCTGTACAATTTTCTAAGCAGGAAAATTTTAAGAACAGTGAAATCTCAGGAATTCAGAGAAGGCAATCTAATGAGCCTCCTCCCCACCCACTCCAACACGTAATAGCTTTTTCAAGAAACGTGTAAAAATGCCACTCAGGGGCTGGATATAGCTCGGTAGTACAGTGTATGCTTAGTAAAGCTTGAGTTTGATGACTAGCACCACCCCCGTCAAAAAGTAAGAATGCTTTTCATTCATAGAACAAATATAAACACATAAACTCTGGAAGTAATGAAATTCCTTATCTTATACTGAGTTTCAGCTGACACAATTTATCAAGTTATATTCTTTAAATGGATACAGCTTATTGTAAACAAATTATGCTTAAATAATGTTGCTAATAAAAGGTAAAAAACAAAAACCAACATAAGCTAAAAGGTGCAAGCCATTTGATAGTTGCACATATTACATGAATAGAATTAAGATTTTAAAAGGGATCAGTCAGATATTTAATTAGGAATATCCCCTGACATTCTGAAACAGTTACTTAATAAATTAAATAATTTTTAGATGTATGACACTGCACAGAAGAGTCAAATAAAATCTTTACTAGAAATCTGATACTTAATGTTCCCATGAGCCTGTATTTCATAACAAAGCAAACTAAATTAACATTTATTAACTGCTAAGGACAGAGAAATGAAGAATAATTATTAATTAGTGGCCCTTTAGCTAATAAAATGTACTGTATGAATCTTCAATGTATTGGTTTTGTGATTTAACCTCTGCTATGGAATAAACTGTGTCCCTCCCCCATTCTTAGGTAGAAGTCCTAATCCTCAATGTTTTGTAATCTGGAGAGGGCCCTTTTTTTTTTTTTTTTTTTTTTGCCCATATTGGGGTTTGAACTCAGGGTCTCATACTTACTAGGCAAGTGCTTTATCACTTGAGCCACTCCATCAGCCCTTTGGAGAGGGGCCTTTGAGAGGTAATCAGGGTTAGGTGAGGTCATAAGGGTAGGTCCCTGATAATTGGATTAATAGCTTAATAGTAAGAGACTGCTCTCTGTACCAGGTAAGGACACAGTGGAAGGTAGCTGCCCGAAAGTCAGGAAAATGGCCCCTTACCAGGAATTGGATTGGCTGGCATCTTGATCTTGGACTTTCCAGACATTTCTGAGAAATGTCTACTGTTTAAATCATCCAGGTTATGCTTTTTGTTAAAACAAAAACCCTAACACAACCTCTTTCTCTTACACTGTACTTTAAAATTTTGAAAATGAAAATAATGAATATTGGTTTTGAAATATTATGTAAGATTCTGTAATCTCTAAAATGAACTTTAAATTTTACAATGCAAAATATTCCTGAAAGGTTTTCTATATAATTCTTGTATTATAGAAAAATGCTTACTCTAAGACTGTATTCATTAATAAAATTTTCACTACTACAGGTAATTAGTGTGTATTTAATTAAGTAGCATTACAATTCTCAGATAAAATGTAGTGGACATCATATACAAGTATTATTATAATGCTAAGAATCAAGTTGGTTTTATCAAGACAATCTGTAATAATCCATGTACACTAAAATGGTAAAAGAAATACACTCACATGCCAAGCTCCGCCAGGTGGTCCTTTACCAAGAACTAAGTGAGGGATACAATGATGTTGTTCTAGTTTCCAGTGCAAAATGGATGGATAATCATATCCAAAATCAGCATCTGGATGAAGAAGTGTATCAAAAAGCACTGCAACTGGATTGGATGATCGGCCCTCAAGGCCTTCAGACAAGTACTCTAAGTCCTGAATGAAAAGCACAAAAGGTAGGTAAGAGTTGGAAAACACCAAAACAACGATGATTATAGTGAAGGCATTATTCCAATCCAGCATTTTCCAGATAGTATGTTAGACAACAATGATGTTCCTTGATGATATCTTGAAAGATTTTTTGATCAAATAAATACAGGGAAAATTTGGGTTTCAACAAAGCTAGTCATACTTATATTGCAAAACATGCCTTCTGTATGCAGATAACAAATATGATGTCCAAATAATAAAAAGGAGCACTTTCCAAGCTTATTTGCACATAAAGCACCTATTAAAGCTCCACCAGCAAATAATTTTGGAACCTCTGCTCTAATGAATTCAAGAAAATAAACAGACGTAACTTGGCAGAATATATTTATGAATCTAAAAACAATGACAATGTTATTTAGAATAAAGGATTTTCAACTAAGAAACAATGCTTACATAAATAAAAACTAATCTTGTTTCTGCAAAAAAATAACTGACACATAACAAATACTACCTGATCAACGATGGAAAGGTGTCTGGCTTCTTCTAATTTACTATGCAAGATTGCATTTGGATGTATTGCTTCTGGTGCTAAATATGGTCTGTAGCCTGATAACATATAAGAAAGGCATATTCCTGAGGGTCCATTTCCTATTTTTTAAAAAAAGCAAACGGGTACATTAAGTTAATACTATTGTTGCTTGGCTTTCCTCCTACTTTGAGGATGGCTCTTCGCCATCACCTGTTTTTTATCTCTGAAAAACCAGGTGTCTCACATGATTCTGACCTTTGCCTTTTCTTTGAGAAATCTTAGCACACATTATGTGTTCAAAAGCAAACTTATGAGTTCTTTTCCTTCTTTTTTTTATTCATTTATTCACATGTGCATACACTGTTTGGGTCATTTCTCCCCCCTGCACCCTGCTCCCACCCTCTCCCCGTCACCCCCTCTCGCTTCCAGGCAGAACCTGTTCTGCCCTTACCTCTAATTTTGTTGAAGAGAAAACATAGGCAATAAGAAGAAAGACAAAGTGTTTTTGCTAGCTAAGTTAAGGATAGCTATATGGAGCGATTCCTAGTATTGCTTCCATGTACAAATATGTTACAACCCAAGTTCATTCATGTCTAATTGATCTTTACAATGGTTCCTGATCCCCTTCTTGTGTTGAACTCTGTCACTTTAAGGTTTCTGTATTAGTTCCTCTGAAGTGGGGACATCAAACACTTTTGGGTTTTCTACCTATCCCCTTTCCTCCCATATGTGCTCTCCCCTTGTCATGTGACCCAAGTCCAACAACACTGCTGCATTTGCCCTAGATCTAAAGTCTGCATATGAGGGAGAACATATGATTTTTGGTCTTCTGAGTCTGGCTAACCTCACTCAGAATGATGTTCTCCAGTTCCATCCATTTACTTGCAAATGATAAGACTACATTTTTCTTCTTTTGAGAAACTTCTGTTTAGTTCAGCTGCCTATTTCTTAATTGGTTCATTGATTTTTAGGAGAGTTTAGTTTCTTAAGTTCCCTGTATATTGTTATCAGTCCCTTGTCTGATGTATAGCTGGCAAATATTTTCTCCCACTCTGTGGATAGTCTCTTCAGTTTAGAAACCATTTCTTTTGTTGAGCAGAAGCTTTTTAATTTTATGAAGTCCCATTTGTCCATTCTTTCTCTTAGTTGCTGAGCTGCAGTGGTTCTATTAAGGAAGTCCTCGCCTATACATTCAGAGTGTTTCCTGCTCCTTCCTGTACTAACTTCAGAGTTTCGGGTCTGATACTAAGGTCTTTCATCCATTTTGAGTTGATACTAGTACAGGGTGATAAACATGAATCTAGTTTCAGTTTCTTGCAGACAGATAACCATTTTTCCCAGCAACATTTGTTGAAGAGGCTGTCTTTTCTCCATCGTATATTTTTGACACCTTTGTCAAAAATAAGGTGGGTATAGTTGTGTGGATTCATATCCAGGTCCTCTATTCTGTTCCACTGGTCTTCATGTCTGTTTTTGTGCCAGTACCATGCTGTTTTTATTGCTATGCTTTGTAATATAGTTTGAAGTCAGGTATTGTGATACTTTTAGCATTGTTCTTTTTGTTGATTATTGCCTTGGCTATTCGTGGTCTCTTGTGTTTCCAAGTGAATTTTAGGATGGATTTTTAAATCTGTGTGATGAAAGTCATTAGGATTTTGATGGGAATTGCATTAAACATGTAGATTGCTTTTGGTAGTATAGCCATTTTTACTATATTGACTCTACTGATCCATAAGCACGGGAGATCTTTCCATCTTCTGTAGTCTTCCTCGAGCTCTTTCTTCAGGGGTTTATAGTTCTCCTTACAGAGGTCATTCATATCCTTTGTTAAGTTTACTCCTAGGTATTTTAATTTTTTTTGAGGCTATAATAAATGGAATTGTTTCCATATATTCCTTCTCAGTTTGTTCGTTGTTGGTGTGTAGAAAAGCTAATGATTTTTGTAAAATGATTTCATATCCTACTTGTTTATGGTGTCTAGGAGTTTTTGGGTCTTTAAGGTATAGGATCGTATCATCTGCAAATAGGGATACTTCTTTACCTCTTTGTATTCCTTTTATTCCTTCTTCTTGCCTAATTGCTCTGGATAGGAATTCCAGTATTATGTTGAATAGCAGTGGGGATAGTGGGCAGCCTTGTCTTGTTCCTGATTTTAAGGGAAATGGTTTCAGTTTCTCACCATTAACTATGACATTGGCTTTAAGTTTTGTCATATATGGACTTTACAATGGTGAGGTACATTCCTTCTATTCCTAGTTTTTTTAGAGCTTTTATCATGAAGTGGTGTTGGATCCTGTTGAATGCTTTTTCTGCATCCATTGAGTTGATCAAGTGGTTTTTGTCTTTCTTTCTATTAATGTGATATATTACATATAAAGATTTGCATATATTGAACCACCCCTGCATCCCTGGGATGAAGCTAACTTGGTCACGGTGGATGATCTTTCTGGTGTGTTGTTGGATTTGGTTTGCCATTGTTTTATTTAGGATTGTTACATCAATGTTCGTTAAGGAAATTGGCCTATAGTTCTCCTTTTTGGAGGTGTCTTTGTCTGGTTTTGGGATGAGAGTAATATTGGGCTCATATAATGAGTTAGGCACTGTTCCTTCCCTTTCTATTTCATTGAACAGTTTAAGGAGAGTTGGTATTAGCTCTTCTTTAAATGTCTGATAGAATTCAGCAGAGAATCCATCAGGTCTTGGACTTTTCTATTTTGGGAGACTCTTTATTGCTGCTTCAATTTCATTTTGTGTTATGGATCTATTCAGATGATTAATATCTTTGTTTCAGTTTTGGATGGTCCTATCCAAAAAATCTGTCCATTTTCTTCAAGATTTTCAAATTTATTAGAATATAGGTTTCAAAGTAGTCTCTGATGATTTCCTGGATTACTGGGTTTGTTGTTATCTCCCCTTTTGAATTTCTGATTTTACTGATTTGGGTTTTTTCTCTCCTCATTTTAGTCAGGTTTGCCAGGGGTCTGTCAATCTTATTTATTTTTCAAAGAACCAGCTTTTTGTTTCATTGATTCCATGTATTTTTTTTGTTTCTATTTCATTGATTTCAGCCCTTATTTTTATTATTTCTCTCCTTCTACTTGTTTTGGGATTTGCTTGTTCTTGTTTTTCTAGGAGTTTGAGATGTATCATTAGGTCATCTTTCTGACCTTTTAATATATGCACTTATGGCTATAAACTTTCCTCTTAGGACTGCCTTTGCTGTGTCCCATAGGTTCCAGTAGGTCATGTTTTCATTTTCATTAACTTTCAGGAAACTTTTATTTTACTCTTTCATTTCATCAATGACCCACTGATCATTGAGCAATGTATTGTTCCGCTTCCAATTGTTTGTATGCTTTTAATTGTTGTATTTGTTGTTGATTTCTAGTTTTAATGCACTGTGATCAGAAGGAATGCCTGGGACTATTTCTGTTTTCTTGTATTTGCTGAGGCTTGCTTTGTGCCCTAAGATATTATCAATTTTGGAGAAGGTTCGTGAGCTGCTGAAAAGAATGTATATTGTGCAGAAGTTGGATGAAATGTTCTGTAGGCATCAGCTAGATCCATTTGATCTATGATGTGATTTAGTTCTAGAATTTCTTTATTGATTTTTTGTTTGGATGACCTATCTATAGGAGGATATTAAGGTCTCCCACTACCACTGTGTTGGAGTCCATATATGTTTTTAGGCCCCTCAGAGTATGTATGATGAAAGTGGGTGCACTGACGTTGGGTGCATATAGGTTGATAATTGTTATTTCCTTTTGTGTATTTCCCCTTTTATTAGTATGGAGTGTCCTTCTTTATCTCGTTTGATCAATGTTAAGTTTGAAGTCTACTTTGTATGAGATAAGTATTGCTACTCCTCCTGTTTCAGGGGCCACTGGCTTGGTAAATCTTCTTCCAGCCTTTCACCCTCAGCCAGTGCTTGTTTCTATTGATGAAGTGGCAGATTGTTGAATCTTCCTATTTAAACAGTTTGCCAAATGGTGTCTTTTGATGGGGGAATTAAGTCCGTTAACATTCAGTGTTAGTATTGACAGGTATGTGGTGATTCCTGTCATTTAGTTTTCTTTGTTTAAGGGTTTGATTGTGTGCAGCTGAATCAATGTTACTCTCTACTTTCTTGCCTTTTCTTCTCCTGTGGTTTGGTACTGCCTGCCCTTTCATGGTTTTGTTTGCTTTCACTTTCTGTGTGCAGAATTCCTGGAAGAATCTTTTGTAGTGGTGGTTTGGTGGTCATGTATTTTTTTAGTTTCTGCTTATTGTGGAAGACTTTTATTGCTCCATCTATCTTGAATGATAGTTTTGCTGGGTAGAGTACCCTAGGGTTGAAGTAGTTTTCATTCATTGCCTGGAATACCTCACTCCACGCCCTTCTTGCTTTTAGGTTTCTGTTGAGAAATCTGCTGTGATTTTTATGGGTTTACCTTTGTATGTTCTTTTTACTCTCTTACAGCCTTCAATATTCTTTCTCTAGTCTCTGTGCTTGTTGTTTAATGATATTATGTCATGGGTAGTTCTATTTTGGTCAAGTCTGTTTGGTGTCCTGGAGGCTTCCTGTACTAGAACAGGCATAGTTTTCTTTAGATTTGGGAAATTTTCTGTTATTATTTTGTTGAATATATTATGGATTCCTTTTGCTTGTACCTCTTCTCCTTCATCAATGCACATGATTCACAGGTTTGGTCTTTTGATGGAGTTGGTGAGTTCTTGCATATTCCTTTCACAGGTCTTGAGTTGTCTAATAGTTCTTCAGTTTTTTCCTTCAATTTCCATTTCATCTTCAAGTTCTGAGATTCTGTCTTCTGCTTGTTCTAGTCTGCTGGAGTGGCCTTCTAGAGTGTTTTGTATTTCTGTTTCATTCTTTTTTCTGAGGTTTTCCATATCATGGGTCACTGCCTCTTTAATACTGTAATTCTCGACCTTAATTCATTTATCTATTTATGGTGTTTTCTGTTTCACTTTGGTGTTTATTTAGGGCTCCTATGAGTTCATTAATTTGTTTTTGTGTTTTCTCATATTCTTTATTTTTGTTGTCTTGGAATTTCTTCAGTGCCTCCTGTACTTTTGGTTCACCATGTCTAGTAACATCTCTATGAAGTTCTCATTGATTATTTGCAGGATTTCTTCTTTGAGAGTGTTCTTGTGGGCTTTGTTGGGTTTCTTGGTATTGTTTATCTTTGTTTCATTAGAGTCTGGATCTGGGTATCTAGTGTCTTCATTTCCTTCTGAATCCTGTACTAATTTATTTTTGGGGGGAGAATGGTTTCCATCCCTTTTTCATCTTTCCATCATTCCACTTGGTACAGTTTCTGTCCCTGGTCTATGTGTAATTTAGTATTAGCTAACTTACAATAGTAAAAGTAACAAAACCAAGAAGGAAGGAGAAGAAAGAGAAAGAAAAAGAAAGAAGAAAAAAATGGAGAACCAAAGAAATCAACAGGGAGAGATGGTGGACAATCAAACAGAGAACAAGATAAACACTTAAAGAAAAAAAAAAAATCCCTGGTTTAGGAACAGAACAATTTCAGTCTTAATAGTTCTGGTGTTACTACTCCTTTAGCATCCAGTTCTCATTGTCTGGGTCTCCTAGGCAGGATGGAGGTGGCATCTGGCAGTGCTGTTTTCTCAGTGTAACGTGGCATGGAGAAGCTTTTTACAGGATGGGGGTTCAGGATTTTGGAGTTTTGTTTCTTTTTTGGTTGTTGTTTTTTTTTTTTCTTTTTTTTGCCTAGTGTGGCTCCAGCAAGAAAATATTCTGTTTGGACTGCTGAAGGTTTCCCAAGCACATTTGGAGCTGGCAGCAGTGGGCTGCTGGGCAGGCAGCAGTGGCCAGCAGGTTGGCGGGCTGCAGCTGGTGGGTTGGAGGCATGGCAGGCTGGCGGTCCAGTGGGCAGGCGGCAGCGTAGGGGTGGTGGTCTGCCTGTTCTTTCAGTGTGTTATGGCATGGAGAAGCCTAACCCACGGGCTAGGGGTTCAGGGTGCTCAAGTTTCAGCTCTCCCTGTTTCTTTACCTCAGCCAAGTGTGTCTCCAGCATCTCAGCAAGGTCCCTGATTCACGGAGCTCACAGTCTGCATCTGTGTCCCAGTCGCCATTTTGGATCCTCTCTCCTTTTCCTTCTTTAAGCCCCATCCCGTCTCAAGCATGTACTAGCAAAATCCTAGTTAATCAAATTCATGTTGTAAACCTATTTTCCCACTAATTAGTTTTCTTTACTTTCACAAATTTATAAAAAACCCTCTGGTTTCTCCTTCCTAAGATTAACCGACTCACAAATTATTTTACATATCACATTCAGATGAGTTTTGGTAAGTTACGGTCCTAATCATGTTATCCCTCAATTCTAAAAGCCAACTGGACAGGTGTGGTGGTGCACACCTATAATATGAGCACTAGGAAAGCTGAGACAAGAGAATACTGAATCTGAGGACAGCCTAGGCTACACAGTGAGACTGTCCCAAAAAACAAATGAATATATTACAAGTATAATCTCTTAGCATCTTGACCCCCAGACTCACACTGTCCCATGTTCCCTTTTTAGCTTTCTTAAAGTCTCAGTGCTCAGACTTGCAGACAAACAACAGCAGGCGCGTCTAAAATCTGCATTAGCATAACTCTTAAAGTCTCATGGGACTTGGACCGTCCCATGTTCTCTTTAGTTTTTCTTTAACTTAGTTTTTCTAAAGCCTATGTATAAAGTTCCCAGTGCAGACTTGCACTGTCCCATGTTCCCTTTAATCTCTAACATAACTCAGCAGCAGCAGTCAGCTGCAACATTCAGCAAGCAGCCCGCCAAAATCCCCCATCCATAAAACCCTTCCATCAAAAAACCTCGCATCCTCTTTCAGCAAGTCTTTTATATCCAGTGGTAAATAAGGAGGTGGAACAACAGTTCTCGGGGAGGGGTAGGACATTGTAACAAGAGAAACTTGCGTTCCTACTTCTTTCTCTGAAGTAAACAACTTAGGAAAAGCAGCTGTACTGCATTTTGCTTTCTCGTTCTCTTCTGTGGATGGGGCCATGCTAAACTCAGCCTGTAGATCATTGAGCACAACTGTGTTTATGACAAATTCTCATAGGCTTCTCGTAATCCACTCCCCACAGACCCAATCTGAAAACTTAAAGCAAAAGAGGCTGGAGGCATGACTCAAGTGACAGAGTGCTTGCCTAATTAAGTACAAGGCCCTGAATTAAAACAAAACAAAAAAAACCAGTACCACCAAAAAAAAAAAGTCAAAGAAACAGAAAAAGCATACAACAATATCAAACATACAAATTAGAAGTAGAGGGGAACGTGGGGAACTTTTCTCACCATGTTAAAGAACATCTAAAAAACCCTACAGGCAACATCATACTTAATGGTGAGAAACTATGTTTTCCCTCTCAGATGAAGATTAAGACGAGGAATGCCCTTTCTCATCATTCCTACTCAACAACATAATTGGAGACCTAGCTAATATAAACAGAAGAAAAGGGAATAAAAGGAAGAAAGAAAAAATATCTTTGTTTGCAACTGACATGATTATTTATGTAGAAGATCACAAAGAAATGACAAAAAATACTCATGGAATTAATAAGCAATTATAGCAAGACTGTAAGATACAGGTCAATATGTAATAGTCAACTAATTTCCTACATAGCAGCAATTAGCAGGTGGAATTTCACATTAAAAACACACACCAAAAAAGAAACACTTAAAATCTAACAAAAAATGAAAATACGTACAAGCTCTACATGAAGAAAACCATGAAATTCTGATGACAGAAATAAGGCTGACATAAATGGGAAGATATTTCATGTTCATGGATAGCAAGACTTGATATTGTTGTCAGTTCTTGTCAACCTGATGTACAGGTTCAATGTAATCTTAATAAAAAGAAATCCTAGAAACATATTTTGTGGATATTAGAAACTGACTTTAAAAGTTATATAGAAGCAAAAAACCTAGTATAGCTACCACAATACTGAAAATGAACCAAGTTAGAGGACTGACTGGAAAAGGCAAGGAAACAGATTCTTTCCTAGGCATCCAAAAAGTTAATACAACCCTGCTGACACCTTAATTTTAGCCCAGCAAGACTAGTGTTGAACTTCTGTCCTACTGAACAATATAATACATTTATGTTATTTAAAGCTGCTATATTTGTGTTGATTAAAACACATACATAAAGGAAACTATGCTCAGGCCCGTGACACTACTGCTAACAGTAATGGCCCTCCATACATTGTTAAGCTATTTTGGGGCCAGATAAGGTAAAACAGGGATAGATCATTTGGGGAGGAATAGGGTGGGAAGGAACAGATGTAAAGGCAGTTTTTTTCTTTTCTGAATCCAATGCCTTTCCTCAATTCAAGGTGGAAAACCAGGGCTAAAAATAAGAAAGAAAATTAAATACAACACAATGGCCCTTGAGATCTATCTTTCATGGAAACTACTGCAAAAACTGCCATTGCTACCATATTCCCAAAAAAGAAATCCAGTACAAAAGAACAATCTTGCTCTCCCCACTCCCTCCCTTCTTTCCTTCCCTGTATCACTCTACTCTAATTCCTGTTCCTACTGATTCTGAAACAAGTTATCAAAGGAACTAGGAAGTCATATGCCTCCAAACCATTCATATCCCGTAATTCTCTCTTCTGCCTTGGCTTCACCCTACAGAACCTTGATTATTTTACGTTCTTGAGTTTGAATAATAGGTGTGGAAAAATATATATGAGAAGCAATTAAGTGCATACAACTATAAACTATTTTGTAACTCTTTTTTGTTGTTTTGCTTTGGTTTTTTTGAGACAGGATCTTGCCTTGTAGATCAGGAGGCCTAGAGTCATTACACAGCCCAGGCTGGCCTGAAGCTCAAAGATCCCTTCCTGCGTTGTCCTCTTGAATGCTGGAATTATAGGCATGCCTCACCATGCTCGGCTTTGCGATTCTCAAATTTTATTAACAGCATAATTTTTAATATTGTATACCTATCTGTTGAGGAAGTACAAAGGATATATAATAGTAATATTATGATTAAGGCAATTATAAGCATTACTACAGAGTACAGTAACAACACTGTTAATTGAGCACTAGTTACCAACTTAAACAAGTCACTCAATTTAAGTCTGTTTCCTTGTCTCTGTGTCATATCAACATCAGAGGGCTATAGGATTAAAAGGTATAATTCAATAATACACATAGAATGACCTGTACAGAGCTCTAATAATACTGGCTATTATCATAACCATGATACTGTCACATAGTTGATACAACCGATACCAGTTCAATGAAAAGGAATTACATCTTAACAGATTAACAAATTAATTCTCTCCAAAGACTTGATTATTAAACATACCAAACTTAAGAATACTTTTCAATAATTCTTTTATTGTCTCCCCTCATCCACAGAAGCTTTTCTGCAAAACTTTTATCCTTCTGAAAAATATTTTTTATTTTTAATTGACACATAGTATGTGTAGATAGTTGTGGGGTAAAATATGACATTCCACTGTATCTATACAATGTGTAATAATCATATCAAGGTAACTGGCATTATTTATCACCTCAGATACATTCAGATATATATCAATCCTTTGTAGTAGGAACATTCAAATACTCTCTCCAGCTATTTTGAAATAAGAATACGTTCAACACAATTCTAACAATTTGTACTACCCAACTGTAGATTTATATAAGTAATAAAGGCAGTCAGACACTAATCGTAAGAAATAAAATTCAATAACTTACCTATTATTACCACAGGTAAACTGACTGATGAACCTTCAAGTAAAGAAGTTTCTTCAACTAATGGCATCGTTTTAACTTTTCGCCCCAAATTATCACCAAAATATTGCACTAAGGAATTAAAAATTTCTCCTTCAGTTTCGGTGTCACTATAGTTTCTTCAAAAAAAAAAAGTGGAAGAGAGAGAGAGAGAGAGTCAATATAGACTTTATAAAAATCAATCTTTACTCATTCCTTTTTTAGGCCATAAAATAATTACTCCAAATTTACAGCTAGCTATACATCAACCAGCATCATTTTGAAGGTCTAAAGGTCTATGTAGCTGTTTCTCTCTCGTTAGTATCTTGTAAGCAAGTACTTAATAAGAAATTCTTTTTAATGACCAAAAACAGCATTATATCGAAAATTTTCTAATTATCTGAAATCTCCTAGGAATGGCTCATTTCTCCTCTACTTTTTAAATTCAGAGGTGAAGGCATTAAAGAAAATATATAGTCACAGATATTTTAAGGAAAAGCAGCTAAAATATTATAAATTAAATAAGATATTTTAGTAAAAAAAAAGAGGTTCACACATTTTTATTCTCAAGAACATTAAAGTAAGAAAAATCTTAAGGTTGATTTCCAATCTTTATTTCCTAATTGCCTCTCTAGAAACTAGTTTTAGTATTCTGACATGCTCATTGAAAAAGAGGATCTCCTGAGCCTGCTACTTTTACAGATTAATTCAGTGTAGAATCCTAAATTATTTTTCACTTTCAGATAGTCAGAAACAGCTATAATGTCTGGAAATATTAAGATTAGTACCTGATAGTGGGTGTGTTTATTACTATTCCCCAAATGTATGAGATGGATCAGCTATTTCACTGGACTAAGGTCAACTCGATAATTCCAGAGGTTGAAAATGAATTATGCAGAGAGGAATTTCTGCTTCCCTATAACTTTTAGAGGGACCAATCTACCCTAGGATAGTGCAGAGTTTGAGACATACTGTTTTCTTGAACCATGTCTGGTAGATCCTTGACATTTCTTAAATATTACGATGCACTGTGTATTTGGAAAGAAAACTAATGAATTTTGAAACAACTGAGAATGACAACACTTCAGCACAGTTGTTACCATAGTTGATTTTGTAAGCAAAACCAATGATCTAAAATATCCTGGCCACTTTCTTAAGTCTACAAATAAATGCTGTGAAGTGCTGTAAGGATAAATATAACTTAAGAAATGTCAAATCACTTTCACTTAAAGGTACAACAGAACCATCTCTGCATACCTCATTAGGAAGTGTGTAATATTCTAAATCAAGATATATCAGGCAATTGTTTTCCTGGCAAGCCTTAGAATTTTGTTACAGCTATCATTTCCAAATACTGACTATATATTTCATAAGCAAACCGTTTTCACTGGACTCGCCTCTCAAGCAATAAGTTTATTTGAAAAAGTAACATGAGAGGTCAGACAATCAGAAATAAAATGTTCTCTGCTGTGTTTGTTAATGAAGAAAAACAAGTAGCAGGAGTTCAAAAATGTTAAGAATATAAGACAATATATTTGATCAGGCCTAAGACCAAAGTAAATAAAGGAAGAATTGAGTATTTTTTTAAAATTCACCCTCCTGATGTACCCAATTCAATGGTTTCTAGTATATTCACAAGGTTTTGCAACTATCACCACTAACTTCAGAAAAAATTTATCACCCCAAAAAATGTACCACCCCCCCATTAACAGTTATGCACCATTATCCCCACCCCCAAGCCATTGACACCACTAACCAACTTTCTGAATAACCAGATTTACCTATTTTGGACATTTCACATGAATGAAACCTCTCGAACAGTATGTAAACTTTTGTGTCTGCTTTTACTTAGTAATATGTTTTCAAGGTTCACGCATGTTAGAGCATCTATCAGTACTTAATTCCTCTTGATGCCTAAATAATATTCCACTGAGTGGACATACATTTTGTTTATTCATTCATGAGGTGAACATCTGGATTACCTTGGACTATTATGAACAATGCTGCTATGATGCATGAGTTTTTGTGTGGACAAATGTTTTCAGTTTCCTAGAGAACATATGACAATGGTATTTCATCTTGAGGAACTGCTAAAATATTTTCCAAAGTGGCTGCACCATTTTACATCCCCAACATACAGAAGTTCCAATTTTCCACATCCTTGCCAGCGCGTATCTTTTGTGTGTGAGAAGTAGCATCTCACTGCAGTATTGATTTACATTTCCCTAAGATGTTAGACATCTTTCCATGGGCTTTTTTGCCATTTATATATCTTCCTTGGAGAAATATCTATCTAAATCCTTTGTATTTAAATTGGGCTTTTTAAAATGACTGACCTTTAAAAGTTCTTCATTCTGGATATAAGTCCCTTTTTAGATAGATGATTTGCAAATATTTTCGCCCATTCTGTGGACTTTTTGTACTTTTGGGGGGGGGGAGTACTATGGTTTTAACTCAAGGCTTCATGCTTATGAAATCAGGCACTCTTCTGCTTGAGCCATGCCTCCAGCCCTGTTCTGTACTTTCTTTATAATGTCCTTTGAATCACATAAATTTTAAATTTTGATCAAGTCCATATAATTTTTTTCTTTTGCTCCTATGCTTTTGGTGGGGTATGTAAGAAACCACTGCCTGATCCAGTCACCAAGATTTACTCTTACGTTTTCTTACCATTAGGTCCTTAGCCCACTGTAATTTTTATATATGGTATGATGCATGTGTACAAATTCCATCTTTTGTTTGTGGCTATCCAGTTGCCCTGACATTTGCTGAGGATAATGTTATTTCTCATCATCTCTGTGCCCTAGTCAAAAACCAACTCACCAGATAAGTAATGATTTCTGGGCTCTCAATTCTATTCCACTGATCTGTATCTTTACACTAGCAACACTGTGATAGTGAACATCAAGAAGTGCATCTGCAGTGAATACCAGGAAGTGCGTCTGCTAACTTTTTTCTTTTTCAAGATTTTCTTAGCTATTCTAGGTTTCTTGCATCTCCACATGAATTCTAGGATCTGCTTGTCAATTTGATCAAAAAAGACAGCTAAGATTTTAATAACATTGCATTTGAATCCATAGACCAATTATATGATTATCATTTTTGCTGATGACAATAAAGGGACATGAATGTACATGGGGGACTGTCTAGAGGGGATTGGCAGGAAGGGATGGGAAAAGGAAAGGATACTGAGCAGAAAAAAGGATGAAAGTACACTACACACATACATATGAAGACAGCATAATGAAATCCACCAAACACTGTTTGAAAAAGGGGGGAAAGAGGGATGAGAGGAAATGGAAATATAATGGAAGGGGTGAACTTGTTCAAAGTACACTGTATGTATATATAGAATTATCACAATGAACTTCCCTTGTGTCATTAACATATGCTAATGCAAAAATAAAATAAAAAATTTTAAAAGAGCATTATCATTTCAAGAAGATTAAATTTTGCAATGTATGAACAAAGAATACCTTTCCATTTACAGTCAGGCTTTTAATAAGGACGGGCTGTGGTGTTCTAAGAAATGCACCAGGCAATTCCAGCACTGTGCTAACATCACAAAGTGCATTTACACAAACTATGACAGCTACAATGTTAACAGGCAATGTAATCTTACATAAGGACTACTGTATTCAGCCTGTCAGTGACTGAAACATAATTATGCAGCACATGACTTTTTAATTTCTATCAATATTTCCTAGTTTTCATTGTACATTTTTGTATTTTGTCAAATTTATTTCTAAGTATTTCATTATTTTTGATGCTATTATAAATGGAACTTTTGTTAATTTCATTTTCAGATTGTTCATTGTTGGCATATAGAAATACACTTCACTTTTGTACATGGATCTTGTATTCTCCAATACTGCTGAATCCATTTGCTAGGTCTTAGTGGGTTTGCTTTTGCTTTGTGTGTGTGTCTAGGCTTCAACAAGTCTGACTTTAGTATGCTCCAATATTCAAACAGAGTGAGACAAAGTCTTAGTACATGTAAATTCCTTCTATACATTAGCTTACCTAAATGAACATAGGGTAAATAACTTACTCTGATTTTTAGGACTCACTGGAGTAATCTATTTGTGTGGCAAAATATCTGTAATATATTTGGATGCTACTTGATAAATTTGTGATTTCAAAGTTAGGAAAAAACCATGACTCAAATAAACAAAAACAGAAACTAAAGCAATAATAAAACAAGACAACTAGTAATTATGCTTTCTAAAAGCATTAGAAGCCTAAGTTACAAATTTAATATTGCTGTACATGTTTTATAGTACACACATAATACAGCACAGGACTATGAAAAGTGTTAGTTTTTTGGGGTTTTTTGTTTGTTTGTTTGTTTGTTTTGTGGTACTGGGGTTTGAATTCAAGGTTTCACACTTGCTAGGTAGGTGCTCTACCATTTCAGCCACTCCACCAGCCCAACAGTGTTGATTTCCAACCTGATGATATTCTATTTAAGAACTTATTTTACACAATATCTTATTTTATTGGGATACCAATTAAATTGAAGTACATGCAAAAACAGTTACCACATTGCCAAAGCATCAAGGTAAAAGCTATCTGAGATGATTTTAGAAGCTTTCCATTTTTTTTGTCTTTGAAACATCATAGTATGAAATTTTAAAACAATTTTAAATGATGGCAGAAATAATATTTGGATAACAACATGGTTTTTCCCATATCATAGCAGTAATTTTAAAATGATCACTCAAACAAAATAAAATGCATTACTACCATAATTTTTATAGCCTTTGGCAGGATGATTCTAAACTTTACCAAAATGGTATCAACACAAGAAGGTTCTAAAAAGTCACAAATGAAGGTAGTCACACTATTCATCTTCCAGAATAGGAAGTATGAGGATTTTCCCTTTGGAAAGTTAGTGGATAATTCTTACAATACCTATCAATTCAGATATTAGACAAATCCAAAAATGTAGATGTTGTCAAAATCTGTTTAAAAGTTTGTGTTTCTAATGAAAGTGCATAAAAAACAGCATTAGTGGCTGGGAATGTAGCTCAGTGGTAGAGCACCTGCCTAGCATGCACAAGGCCTCCAGAGCATCATGAAGTAAAAAAGCATACAAAAAAAGAATAGCTTTAGCAAATTAGAAACATATTCCAAAAGAAGCTGGCAATTTTTCTTCTTAAATTTTAGACACAACATAACTATTTGTATATGGAAAGCCTGGCAAGCTTGTTTTCCTTTCTTTCAAGACCAAATGTAGCAAATACTTTTCTTTTTACCCTCTACTCTAAATTTTTATGCACGAGGCAGATAAGCTGATGGTACTTATCACCTAGTGTTAGGCAAAAGAATACGAATTCCAAGCTGTCCTCATAGAGTTCAACTGTATATACCAAAGATGTCAGAAGGACAGTATTTTCTAAAAGAGATGTTTGTTTCCCACCAGCTTAAATTTAACAAGTTTTCAGGAGGGGAACCTGCTTTCTAAAATTCTCCACGTGAATCTGATACATACACTATCTGTCAAGTAATCAACAATTTGTCTAAAAGTTATTATCCAGCAGCCTATTACATAACTTCTTTTAAAATAGCCAGAATTTAGAGACTTAAGCAAAACTCACTGAAAAGGTGAGCAACCTAGTTTGTTACTATTATATTTCAACAAGAATACTGAACTTTCTCTATGCCTTAGATCCCTTCTGTAATTTGGTGATACCTCTAGACCTCCTCTCTGAATGATATTAAACACAAGGACTTATAAAGAAACCATTAAAATACAGCTAGAAAAACTTGGGATATACGTGTGTCCTTCCTTCTCTACACATTAAAAACAAGTTCAGTGATGTGTAATAATTACTGTAATATGTGAAGAAATAAGTATGAACAGTATTTCTACATATCTAACTAGTGATAGGAAAATATCCGTGATTTCTACTGACGACACTCACACACAGTGATTTGTTGCTTAAATTGATAATTGAAGGAAATGTTAATTTCCAGTTTAGTGAAAATGGACTTTTCTTTCTAACCAAGTTCATGAACCACCTAAATTCTATGAATGAGCCTCAATTAAAGAGTTTTATATTTTACTAAAATTATTCTGGAACACTGATATATGTCAATCAAGGTCGTTAAGTCTTTACTAAGCTTAACACTTCTTCACCCCACAGTTATAATCCAGTTCATAGGGTCTTTGGTCTTTCTCCCTATAATTGAATGAAGTGTTGGCCAACGTGCTAGACATACAATGTATTCTTTTTTTTTTTTTTTTTTTAGTGAGGGACCAGGGTTTGAACTCAGTACTTCCCGCTTGGAACGCAGGCGCTCTACCACTTGAGACCCACCTCCAGTCCATTTTGCCCTGGTTATTTTGGATATGGGGTGTGGATCTCAAGAATTATTTATCCAGGTTGGCCTTGAACCTTGATCCTCACAATCTCAGCATCCCAAGTAGTGAGGATTACAGGGGTGAGCCACTGGCGCCCGATTTATATTCTTTTATTTTAAAACTGGATTATCTTTATAATTCCTAAAAACTTTTCCATAATTTGGGTGTAAAAACTGTCACATTTTTCACCCAATTTCCACATTGAAATGGATTACAATTAAGAAGTCGGAACCTATTTTTAACTAGATCAGAACATAACCATAGTTCCTTATCAAGCTTCAACCCAGTCACTTATCAGAATTATTTTTAATAAGAATTTTTAAGAAGGCCTTCCCTGGAACCCTTCGCTAAAACTTAGCATTCACTTGAAGACTCAGCTGGCCATAACCGACTCTCCACGGGCCTAGAGGGTCTCACCGTCTCGTGACCGGCGCGGTGCAGGGAAAGGAATGCGGGACCGCCGAGCAGGGCTTCCTGAGAAGCGCCCGCCAGCCGGGCGGGTCTCGGCGGCAGGAGGCTCGCCCTCCTCCCCAGTCCCCAACTTGCTCCCCTCCCGTCCGCGGCGGGGAAGTCACCTGAAATGACCGGCCAGGGAGCAGCGGCAGCACCACACGGGCATGGAGCGCTGCGCAAGGGGCGCCCGAGCGCGGCCGCCTTCCCCGGCCGGGCTGCCCGCTCGGGGCGCTCGCACGCTCCGGGTCGTGGGGTCCGCGGAGCGTCCCAGCACCGCACCTCGCCGTTGCCGCGGCTCAGTCGGGCCAGCGTTCGCCTCCCGGATAGCGGCTTCCGCTCCTCGCCTGCGGGGAGCCGGGCGCCGCGGCGTGTGATCGCCGGACGCCGCGAACGGGGCGGGGACGCTGCGACGGCGGCGGCAGCGCGCGGGCTCCTCCTTGCAGGTGCGGCTGCAGCGACGAGGCCCATGATTGGTGGAGCCGGCGCGAAGGGCGGGGCTGACGGAGCGGAGGCTGCGTGAGCCAGGGGCGCAGCAAACACAGCCGGCCCTCCGCACCGCTTTGCGGGGCCCGGACCACGTCTGGCGTTTGCGGCCTGGGTCGTGCGCCCAGCTTGTGGCGTGCGGGTCTGGCGGCCAGCGGGTGCGCGCGCGCGCAGGGCCCAGCGAAAGAGAAGGGAACGGCCAGGGATGAAGCCCTGCGTCCGCGCGGCCTTCGCGACCTCGCGGGGGTCCCGGGAAAGCCCGAACTCCCCCCGCCTCGAAGAACTCACCTTAGCGCTCTTCCTGGCGCCGGTCCGGGTGCTGCTCGCCCTGGGTGCCGCATCATAACCACCCGGGAAAATTCACCAAACCCCAGGTGGCCCGGCCCCACCCCCTCAGGTTCCGATTATGGAAGTCCGGCTTCCCGGAAGGGGTCAGCCTCCTTTGAGTAAGTGGCTTCCAGCGTTCCCAAGGGTGGGAGTTCCCTCGGACCTACTGAGGCAGGGTTTTTAGGTTTTGTTTTTTCGGGGGGTGCGGGGGGAGGTGGAGGAGTGCAGAAACTCACTTGAATCCCTCCAGGTGATTGTGATGCAGTGGGAGTTAGCGAAAAGCTGCTTAGTGGTGTCCCTAGTTGGTGTTTGTCAAAAATAAAGTAAATGGAAGGAATCTATTGCATGCTGTTTTACAGAGATGTATTTCTAACTTCCCCCCAGCTCCCCGAAAGGCCCGCATTCTTTGGGGTTTAAAATACTGTTTATGTCTTTAAATATAGTTATTAAAACAAGTTCTCTTTCAGTTTGGCTGAATGTTGTTAAACAGACGTGCAGTTTGTAGGTATTTAAGATTTTGCGGAGTTTAAAGAGAACCTTAAGATTCAATATCTATATTTAAGAGTTTATTTTTTTAAAAACGTTTTCTCTAAACTACTGGCAGTCTGATACATTCATTTTGCTATAAAGTTACTATGTAATTCTGAGAATGAAGCATAGTTACTTTTCCTTTAATATTCATACAGTTTCTGATTTAAAGGACCTGATTCCTGAGAGCGATGACAATCTAATACGGAGGATTTAGTAACTGACAGTCCTAAATGTTTACACGTGATTTGTGAAGCATTTTTCTTTCATGGCTTTCTTTTTTGTTTTGAGTTTTCTTTGATTATTTTTAGAACAAATAAAGTGGGCATGTCAAATTTTAGGATTAATCTGGTTTATAATTAACCTTGTGAATTTACTACCATAGTTAACACTTGATAGTGGCTTCTGATTAAACTTGTCCATTGTCACTATGTACGAGATATTTTTATGGCAAATGGGACATACCAAAAGTTTCATATTTTTAACTTTGAAGATATAAGTGAAATCTTATTAAAATACAGAACCCAAAGGTAGAGAAGTGGTAAGGAAACAGACTCAGATGCTGTTGGTGAGAGTGCAAATTAGTACTTACTCCAAAACTCCCTCACTTTCATTTTTGGAACTCATTCCTCTATTCATTGCCCACAGTGGTATACTTAGGGTGGTGGTCTCACCTCACACTTTATGGTATCTTCTAGATCCCTGGTGTCACCTGCTTATAGAATCTTTTTACTGCTATATAGTGTGCTACCATTTTGTACATCACCGTGCAGTGGCTTAAGGATTGTGCTGGCTGTGTAATTTGGGCAAGTTACTTAGCATCTCAGAGCATTAATTCCTGTCTATAAAATGAGGGTAAAAGAACATCATTGGTTGTGACAATTAGATAAGAAAACATTATAAAACATCACAGTGCCTGGCTATGTAAGTTAGCAAATAAATGTGTTTTTTTTTCATTATTATCAATAATATTGTTAAATATTTTTAGATTTTCTAAAAGCAAAATTCTGGAAAGTACATACTGTGAACAAAATTGCGTTCCCCCAAAATTATATGTTGAAACCCGAATGCCCAATGTGACTGTATCTGGATATAAGGCCTGTAAGGAGGTAATTAAGGTTAAATAAGGTTATAAGGATGGGAACCTAGTTGGTTATGGCTGGTGCCTTATAAGAAGGGGGAGGGACACCCAAGCCCTCTCTTCTCTCTATGAGGACACAGCGTAAAGGGGCAAGCTGTGAAGAGAGCCCTCGCCAACAACCCAACTGACTGACACCCTAATCTTGGACTTCACAGCCTCCAGAGCTGTAAGAAAACAAATTTCTACTATTCAAGCTACCTAGTCTATGGTATTTTGTTATGGCAACAGGAGCTGACTAATACAGCTTTTGCATTTTCTAGAAGCAACAAAAATTTTAACGTAAACCATTCAAAATAAACTGTTGCATTTTGTAAATTCTAGGCAAATCTGTCAATGGCATGTCAGGAAAGGTAGCAATTTGATAGTATAAGATTATCCAGAGGGTTCAAGAAAACATTCTAGACAAAATTACTCCTTTATTAACTTAAGCTTTTTCTCATCAGTTCAATTCTCCACCTAGATGGCAAATAGTAGAAGTGCTTTCGAGTATATACAGAATTAAAGGTGAAAGCTGTGTTGGGGACTTGAGATGAGGTTTGCTCCTGTAGTGTGAGCTCAGGAGACAGAGTAGGTATACTTAGTACACCCTCAGTGGATATACTAAGGAGGTATACCCACTAAAATATAGAAAAAATAGTTTATATTTGTGAATATTGTAGTAATTAGGTTCAATTGCAAAGAACAAATCATAGAATTCACTGTAACTAATTTACAGATAAAATTTTGTAAGGGTATTCATATTTTGCACAGTCATAGAATGGCTGAAAAAAACACAATATAAGTAGACTCAAAAATATTCTCAAAGTCACACTGCAAGAGAGGTCACAAAGGATGCTGCAACTTAACCTGAACAAAAGCTGCCTGACAAATCAGAGAACTTCAGCTACAGTAGCCAACTTTAGAACTAGACCTAACTTGTAGTGTTTTTCTACTGTAAAGTAAGTCCAGGAGGTAAGAACTTTGTTTCTTTGTACATGTTGTATGGCCAACACTGAGAACAGATCTTGGCTTGTGATAGGGGTGAACACACAATCAGATAACCCTCACCCAGCAAACACAGCAGGGCCAATGTTGTATAATCCTTGAGCTAAATGAAAGAGAGATTGTTTTCTCTTGTCTCATTGTGTATAAGGTCAATTTGAGCCACTACTTGCACTAGTACAAATTAGACAAAAGAGGAATGGTACAAAAAACAGAACATACGACAAAAGATAAGCCATGGGAATCTAGGTGTTTAATAACAGAAAGTGAGGATAGAAAATGTAGTTGGGTGAAACGTTTGGCAGGAAAACCGTTTTAGAACTAAAAGGAAACATGAGTCTGCACATGTGGAAGATCCATTGACCAGGAAAGAGAAAAAAAAATACATGGATATATCATGAAATTTAATAATAAAGAAGATTCTAAAAGCTTCCAGAAAAAAGGACTGAGGCTGGCAACAGACTTCTCATAAACAGTACTGCATGTTAGGAGACACACAATGTCTTGAAAATTCCAAACGGAAAATGACTTTGAGCTTGAATTTTATTGCAAGTCAAACCTATCAATAAAGTGTGGGGGCAGAATGAAAAAGAAAATTAAACATAAACCCAGAAAGCCTTACTTCTCAAATAATCCTTTTTTGGATGTTGAAAATACAAACTACCATAATCAGAAAAATGTCCAAGAAACTGGTGCAGATTGGATCGATAAAATATTGGAACTAAGAAAAAGCTATGATGGTAAATGCAGAAGTAGCAGAAGGCCTACCTATCCATATTAAAAGACAGTAAGGCTGTGAGAAAGAACTGCCTATAGGGGAAAAAAAGGAATTCCTAGATTTGATAATATCCTGGAGATGTTGCAAGAACCTATTCTAATGATGCCATAAAAGCAGACTTTTAAAACAAAAGTAAAAGCAATTTGAAGTTCAGTGGGATTGGTTGTATGGCAAAAAGGAGGAAAAGTGTATAATTTTAGAATTCAGCTTGCCTGGGTAGCAAGTAGTGTTTACACAGATATGTAAACATTACTTAATGATTTTTAAATTTACAGTTCACTGCTGTACACACAGAAAGAATTACTTAACTAAGGTTACAGAACAGGTTGTAAATATTAGGCATAATAATACAAAAGAGAACAAAGGAGATGAAAAGAGGGTTATGGGATATAAAATTCTTCTATCTATAGTTGAAACAAGAAATAGAAATTTAAGTATAGTATTTAAAATCACAAATTTGTGATCAATGGGAAAACTATTAATAGTGGCATGATTTATTAGTTGTTGCAGGTAGGAAAATCTAGGTGGTTTAATGTTAAATCCTTACATAGGAAGTGAATAGGCAAGATCGAACATTGATACATCAAAAATTAGTATCATAAGCATATTACAGCTATAAGGGAGCTAAAAAGAATAAGATGTGATTGGGAAACAAGATTGGAAGGGTTTGGAAAGGATGGGGTGGTGGCCCATTGCTTTTTTGCATTCTGCCCACTTTCATTCATTCATTAATTCATATAACAAATATGTATACCAGGTACACGTAAATGAAGTGGACTTTACTGCAGGTTAGGAGTGACAGGATATTTTTCTATCACAGCTGCACCAAATTTTGGAATTGAGTATTAGCTTTGTTCTTAAAATTTGTTAATAGGCAATTGATACCAACCGTGTTTTGACCCTTTTCCTCTCATTTTTTTACATTCTCATTCTCTAACACAGACTTTTTGGTCTTTGGTTGGTATTGTGGAGAACTCACAAATGGGGCAGTAAAGGAGAAACATGATCTATCCTACCTTTCCTTTCCAGTGATTTAGGTGGGGAAGGTCCCAGAACTTCTGCAGATGGGATTTGTGGTTTTGGAATGCCAAATAGTACTAGAGCAGTGATGATAAGCATACTGAGCAGACTACACAGGAGCAGGAATGAGAGGGAAAAAAAACTTTTCAAATAGACCAGAGTAGTGTTTCGCAACCATGGCTAAATATTAGAATCATCCAGGGAGCTTTTATATTAGAATCACTCAGGGTACCCAGGCACCACCTCCTCCTTTTACTACTTCCTTACTACCAATTATGTTTAAAAGTCCCATTAAGGGACATCAAGCCTATGATTCAAATCATTAGTATATAGTCCACATGCGATTTCTGTAGAACTGAACTGACAAAGTGTCAAATCCCTGTCTTAAATATTTATTCAATATAGTCATATAATTAAAATCTGAGAAAGAACTGTATTTACTTCTTTGACCTTATAATACATAGGGCATATATTTAAAATGTATAGCTTTTATTTCATT